ACAAAAAGTTAATTGAAAGGATCACAACGAAAAGTAATCGACATATGTCTAAATTATTTAACCAAACGTGTATATATATATATATATATATATATATATATATATATATATATATATATATATATATATATATAGTTCAACTATCCCATCGATTTCGAGGTATGAGGGTCAAGCAACTCAGTCCCTAGAAACAGACAGCTAGACTACCTTCACAAATCATTTGATTATAGAGGTAAAGGCTTTGTGCACAACCAGCCACACTTTTTCGAAGATCCAAATACAGAGAACTGGTGCACAACGTACCACAAGGTCCCCAAACAACCCTCAGCAGGTTTTGAATTTAGAGTTTTTCCTTCTCCTAGACCGGTTGTCCCGCAAGGCTATAGAAACCAGTCTGCCCTGCTATTTACCCATAGCTGGGGAAAGAAGAAGTGTATTCATACCTTCCACAAGGGGTTTAGCATATATGTGCAACGGATTCCACTGGAATTCGAACCCCGAAACGGGCCCATATATATATATATATATATATATATATATATATATATTCTGATTTCTTTTTCAATTTGTAGGTCTGGTAATTTGGATCGTAATTTATGATTCGAATGTAATGAATGATAACGATGAAATATTAATGTTTGAGCCTTTTTTATATTATATTCTTATTCTGTCCTGGACATAGAATTCTACCTGGATTTTATCCTAACTGGAATTTATGTATATATATATATATATATATATATATTGACCACTAATATTATAACATTCGGATTACTAACACAAAAACAGAGAATGCCTCTTATCGAGAATATTTAACAATGAAAAACATAAGGAAAAAATTAATTATTTTTAATAATATGTGGAAATTTCCGATTTTACCTGAAGACGGTCACGAGACCAGAAACACGTGTAGTAAAATTATGGAAAATAAAGCATAATATTTTTTTCTAAAAAAAACATTAAAACCCAAAACGTTTGCGGCACCTCTCTTCTCTTCTTTTTAATATACATACTTTTCTCTCGTTTTCTTTTACAATATATTTATTATATATATATATATATATATATATATATATATATATATTTGGTTGATTGATGTGAATTTGTTTTACCTTTTGATCGTCAAGCTCTATCTTTGATATTGAGCGATTTTCTAATAAAAAACCGCACATATAATATATCGTAATATATATAATATATAACATACACACACACACACCAACACACACACACATATATATATATATATATATATATATATATATTTATATTTATATACACACACACACACACACACACACACACATATATATATATATATATATACATATATATATATATATATATATATATATATATATATATATATATATATATATACATGCACTTTATGTTGATAACTGTTTATTGTTACTAATTATGCATTCCCCTGTTGAACAGATTTGAACGACTTTTCATGGTCACTTTCGCTATTGCTATCTTATGGATCGCGGTATTCTCCTATATTATGGTCTGGATGGTAAGTCAATTTTCCTTCTCGATTTTCTTATTTTATGATTATTATCATTATTATCAATAAAGGTTTACTGTCAATATTTAAAGTGTTCACAATATCTTTGTTCTGTATGATTTAAAGCGTGTTATTGGTGTTTATGACATGACTAATGACTCGTGCCATAATGAATCCGTGGTCCAATGCAATATACAACGCCATGCGATGTAAGTGTCAAGCAATGAAAAAGGTTTAATCTTGATTTATTAGCTGGTCTTGAAAGTTTAATTTAAATGTATCACAGATTCGCAAAGATTTAATATTTGCCCACGATATTAAATTTCAATGTAAACGTAATGCCAATATTTGAAAATATTGGCACTGTATGCTTAGATATGATTTTAGAAATTTAACTAAGAGGAAACTGTGATATTTATATGATAGTTGTCCATCATAAAATGTTATTGTAAGACCTCGTTGTGCTTTGAATGGATGTACTTCTTAAAACCTGAGACACTTCTAAAACCTATAACACAAAGTTGGCAACCATCGAAAATATACGTTTTATTGTCATTAGCTCTATTTTTGTGACTGTTTTCATATATTTAGAAAGCATTGTGCTGTTTGTGTATTTACTGTTTGTAAATATATTATGTGCGCGTAATTGTTCTGTTTCCAGTTAGTCTTATGTATATTTTACAGTGGCTTTATATATTATATTGTTTTGCAAGCAATTGCCATTTAATGCACATTTGTTCATTAATCAACAGTTACAGGTTGTCTGGATTTGTGTGGATGGGTTGTTGGTTATTTTTCTGTTATCTTATTTATTCATTTGTGTCCTGTTCTCGGTGTAACTGTAGGTGTTTGTTACAGTTTCGCTGTTGAGTATCTTATAGAGAGTGCTTGATAGCGGGGAGTTATTGTGTATGACGTTAATAGATATTTTTTCTACTGTTGCTTTTTCGTTTTTTGTGTGATGTGTTGACTTGCAAACCTCTACCAATGTGATATAAATTCTCAGCAATTTCTTCTGTTTTGTACTTGGCTAGTGCTCTTGTACGATTTTTTCCTATGTGGCTTAGTTTACCTGCTTCCCTCAAGAAAACTCTTCCACAAACATTGTGACGTCATGCCTGTTATGTAGATGGTACGGAGGTTCTACGGAGAGAATTCTCGAAAGGAACTTGCTTATCATAAACCTTTTTCTGAAATATTATATATATCATCTGTCGAATGGAATTGGGGACAAGTTAATTTTGCACTGAATTTTGCAAAGATCAGCGATTCCTTTATGCCAACATTATAACGCTTTTTTCGCCCGTGGGTTGATTGCTTTCCGTTAGCAAACTCTCCATGTAAAACCTGTTTTGGATTCCTATTGTTGCTCAACTTATACTTTAACTGATATATATATATATATATATATATATATATATATATATATATATATGTGTGTGTGTGTGTGTGTGTGTGTGTAAAAATATATAGAAATGAGAACTCTTATGTAGCGTTGGAATCATATTTTTAAATAAATAAATAATTATATATATATATCGCACGTGGAGTGTGGGTGTTAATAAAATAGTGATGTGTGCAATATAACAGAGTGATTTATAAACTATATATTAATAATTATACATTTTTTCCTCACCAGTAGCAGGACTCAGAGATTCAGGCACAAGGCAGACTTAATTCCGCACCTGAAGATTGCGTTGTGCATGGAACTCCGAGTCGTGCTACCGGTGAGGAAAAATGTTTATATATATATGTGTGTGAGTGTGTGAGTATGTGTGTGTGTGTGTATTTTGTGTGTAGTATAGCTAGATATATAAAACAGAGATAGATAGATACAGAGATAGATAATTGGCAAAACTGTGAGAAAAGATATATAAACTAATAATAGTAGATAACTGAATGGCAAAATGGAAATCTTTCCGATTTCTATGTAACGCGTTTCGTCCTTGAAAAGGACTTCATCAGAGTAAAATAATAATATTATTCATGGAATTATGTATACATGTAGCAGGAGGGGCTGAAGATATTAGCAAAACTTCAGTTGCAATTATACATCGAGGGAAATCGCTGAAATCTACGGCCATCACCGTGTGAGATATTATTAGAACGCACAGTAATAAAAACAAAATCAATGTTTGCTGTGAAACTGAAATGAGTCGGCTAGGCACATCGGAAAGGCAGAAAGGCATCACCATTGTCATCATCATCATCATCATCATCACCACCACCACCACCACCACAACCACCACCACCACCACCATCACCATCATCATCATCCAACCACCACCACCATCAGCAGCAGCAGCACCACCACCATCACCACCATCATCATCATCATCATTCCACCACCACCATCATCAACATTATCACCACTATATATTTATCATCATCATCACCACCAGAACCGCCATCATCATCATCACCACCGCCATCATTATCATCATCACGACCACCACAACAAGAACCATCATCATCATCATCATCATCATCCCACCACCACTGTTATCATCATCACACCCACCACAATCATCATCATCCCCACCACTACCACCATCATCTTCATCACGACCACCACCACAGGCACCATCGTCATCATCACCACCACCACCACCACCATTATCATCATTATCACCACCTCCGCCGCCGCCGTCGCCGTCATCATCATCATCACCACCATCATCATCATCGTCATCATCATCACAGCTGTTTCGAAGTGAAGTCCAACTGCAAAATCAGTCTGAGTTCTCATCTTCAGCCACTTCGTCTCGAAATCTACCGTTTTTCTGCTGATCCAGGATAAACGCTGCATATCTTCCAAGCTCTCCAAAGTTTTTCGGGGAATGATGCAATTTTATTGATAATTCTTCTAATCTCCTTGCTCTGTGTTCCTCCTATGACTGCTCGTCTAAATAAATGTTATACTATTTGCTATTTGTTATTTGATAACAAAAGCACTTCCATAATATTTCCTGATTTCCAACACACTTAACTTTGTCCTTTCTAACTCCGATATTTCTCTCAAGTTCTTTGATTTGTGTTTCTTGAAAACAATAATGTATTGTTAACATCGATGCTAGAACTATCCACCTACAAAACCAATAATTCCTGCTTTTCTTTTTTTTTAAATTTCCCGATGATAAAATATTTATTTAGCAGGAGATATTTACAAAGTTTTAAATAAGAATTTGCCGACTTTTAACGATTTACAATTGGAGAAGTGATTAGCTTCTTCGCCAAATAAATTTCAGATTTAGATTTGAAGACTGACGTCCCCTCCATTTTCAGCGTTCGGGAATTTGTACGAATGAGAATAAAGGTGAAGGATTTGTTAAAAAGAAAAAAAAAACACTTTTCTCAATCGCGAAACTAAAAGAATAGAAGAATGTCCTGAGATACGGATGGTGTGTCTAAGAACAGTCTGTCAAAGAAAGAAAGAAAGAAAAGAAATTAAAGAAAGAAAGAAAGTTGTCCTGAAAAATAGTTTGAAAACTTTTTGAAAGAAAGAAAGAGGTGAAAGGAAGAAACAAAAGTGTAAGAAAGAAAGAAAGAAAGAAAGAAAGAAACGTAAAAAGAAAGTTTTAAAGAAAAAAAAGTAAAAAAAAGACTGAAAGAAAGTTGAAAAGAAAGAAATAAAAGAAAGAGAAAAAGAAAGAAAGATTGAAAGAAAAGAAAGTAAAAGAAAGAAAGAAAAATGTTAAAGAAAGAAAGAAAGAAAGAAAGAAAGAAAGAACGAACTACGTGGAAAGAAAGAAGTGAAAGAAAGAAAGAGGTGAAAGAAAGAAAGAAAGAACGAACGAACTACGTGGAAAGAAAGAAGTGAAAGAAAGAAAGAGGTGAAAGAAAGAAAGAAAGAAAGAGGTGAAAGAAAGAAAGACAAAGAAAAAGATACTTATCTGGAAGGATGGAAAGAAAGAAAGACAGAAAGAGGTGAAAGAAAGAAAGGAAGAAAGCGGTGAAAGAAAGAACGATAAAAGAAAAATAGAAAGAAAGAAAGAAAGAAAGAAAGAAAGAAAGAAAGAAAGAAAGAAAGAATGAATTAGTAAGTGAGTAGATATGTAAGGGGGGGACAAAGTATATGATCGAGAGGTTGTCTAGAGATGAATTAAAAGTATATTTGAAAAACGGTTGCGGTTGGGTATATTAAATTGATTCCATTAATCTATCTTTGGTCGTCTCTTCGAGGAACAAGTTCTGGTTAGAATTCTTTCTCGTTTCAGGTGACACTGATTGGATTTACATTCCGAATTCCAGACAGCGTGATGGGAATCACTTTCCTCGCTGCTGGAACGAGCATTCCCGACGCCATGGCCAGTGTCTACGTTGTTAGACAAGGTAGGCTGCATTGCCGGAAACCGGCTTTTGCTATTCTCATCGAAACATATTTGCTCTTTATATATATATATATATATATATTATTATTACTATTATTAAAAGTTGTCATTTGTGTCTTGTTATATCATTCACTGCGCCACTGACATATTTTTCAACAAAACCATCAAACATTCCTGCTAATACATATTGTGAAAAAATTTCGATATTAGAAGGCTGTAAAAGACTTTGAGACGTTTGTACACATCTTATACAGAAACATTTAAAATTATTTTAATGCGGAAATGCGTAGCATATTCTTTTAATATTATTGGATTGGGCCAAAAGTTCGTAGAATTTTTAAATGAATATCAATGACTAAATATATATATATATTCAAGAACATAATTTAAGACATTTTTATGTTTATACATTCTTTTTTTTTTTTTAGATACAAATATTTAAGTAAATACTCTTTTTATAATAAACAGTATTAACAACATTTACCGGCCTGAATAAAAAAGAATGTATAAACATAAAAATGTCTAAAAATAATTGTCCATTTCATAATGTGTGACGTCATTTGTTTACATTTGGATACGCATCAAGCAGATATGAATGTACGAGAGAAAATCATGGAAAATTGTAGTTTAAAAACAGTAAAATCGACCTTGCTAACCAAAACGCTCCTCTGTGGCGAAATCGGTAAAAGCACGTCAGGCTATATGACGGTTGCGTATAGAATACAGGTTCGATTCCTGTCGGAGGACGCATATTTTCTATGAAAATTTCTCAGACATTCAGGCCGGTAAATGTTGTTAATGCTGTTTATTATAAACAGAGCATTTACTTAAATGTTTGTATCTATAAAAAAGAATGTATAAACATAAAAATGTCTTAAAATAATTGTCAAAACTTTGTGAAAAAATTTCATATAATGTGACTAGAATATATATATATTTTTTAGCATTTTGATGTATCTTCATGATTCCAACCTCTTTGACCAATTATCTGGGGATAAACTGATCCAAGTGATTCTTACAGGCTTCTATAAAATTTAAATGTTCTGCATTTAGAGAAATTTCTAGAAATTGAATTACAGTTTGGTTTGGTTTGTTAAAAAGGGATATAACCTCAATGGGTTATTTAAGAGCCAACAAGAATTTTTTATTATGGTAATAATTTTTTCAAGAATGTATTTCCTTGATTAATTTTTATATTAATTTAGTTTAGTACAAACGCTCAGTTCGCTTTTAGAAATTTCCATAATACTTGCATTTATATTAATTGTACATAAAAATCATTTTTTGGTTTGATGAATTTGATAGAATCTACCGTTTTAATGTTATCGACAGTAAAAAGTTCGGACTGATTAAAATGGGCAGCCATTTGGCGTTGTTTTCATACATTCGCTGTGGAAAAAAATGAATAGAATATTCACTTTTTCTTGATTATTACGCACATTTTTATACTTTTAAAAATGCATCAGTAATTCAATAATTAAGTAAGTAAAATCAGTAACAATAAGACCGTTAACTATATTTTTCCGTGCTTAGCTTTCCTCTGCGAAAATTTATCACTGGTAATAATTTTTTACAAAGTATTTTTGGTAATAAAACCTATTTTTATACTTGGAAGTATTTTTTTGATTTCCAAAAGGGGTTAACTATGAAATCATCAGATGGGACATTAACAATAACAAACCCCCGTTTTCAAATCTAGACCTGGGAACACCAGCAATTAAGAGGTGCTTTCCCACGCTCCTCAAAAACCTCCTGATCAGAGAGGTCTTGCTGTCAGATAAGTTTATCGTCTTACCCAGGATGCTGGATGTAGTTTATCGTCTTTCCCAGGACGCGGATGAAGTTTATTCGTCTAACCGAGGATCGGATGTAGTTTCTCGTCTTACCCCGGACTTGGATCATGTTTTTATCGTCTTACCCAGGAAACGGATGTAGTTTATCGTATTTACCCGGAAACGGACTAAGTTTAAAATCTTAGCCAGGAAACGGATGTAGTTTATCATCTTACCCGGGAAATGGATGTAGTTTATCGTCTTACCCGGGAAACGGAAATAGGTTTATCATCTTTTCCGGAAACGGATGAGTTTATCGTCTTACCCAGGAAACGGGTGTAGTTTATCATCTTACCCGGGAAACGGATGTAGTTTATCGTCTTACCCCTGACGCGGTGTTATTTATCGTCATACCCAGGACGCGGATATAGTTTATCGTCTTACCCAGGATGGTTGAACCCATTTAATTTGAAAGTGTAATGTGTTTATTGGAAACGGTATTACTAGTAAGGCATATTCGATCATTATTTATACTTTAATTAATATTTTTTTCTGCAGAAACGTGACGACATGTGTTGTCCTGGTAATTTGGTTTTGTTGATTTGTTTAACGACATATCAACTTCTCATGGGTATTCACAGAATGCCGAACAAAATTTGTATTTTGAGAGCTTTTTATTTTAATTTTTTTTTTGCTATTAAAATCTATTTTGGAATTTTCTTTTCAGAGCTCATTAAAATCTATTGCTAGTAGTTTTATTGTAAAACTCTATATACGTCTATATTCCTGAGATGAGGTATTACGTACACTATTTACATTATTCGGACGATCGTCCTCATCTTTGTCGCCGTATTTATTACAACGTTTCGGCCTTTCAGAATCTGTCTATATAAAAATGAGATGAAGGTATTATATACACTATTTACATTATTTTTTTATTGTCCTCATCTTTGTCGCCATATTTATTACAACGTTTCGGCCTTTTCAGTATCTGTCTATAAAGAATGAGATGAGGTATTACGTAGTACTATTTACATTATTCGGACTATTGTCCTCATCTTTGTCGCCATATTTATTACAACGTTTCGGCCTTTCAGTATCTGTCTATATTTCTGAGATGAGGTATTACGTACATTATTTACATTATTCGGACTATTGTCCTCATCTTTGCCGCCATATTTATTACAACGTTTGGCCTTTCAGTATGTTGTCTATATTTCTGAGAGAAGGTATTACAATACACTATTTACATTATTTGGACTATCGTCCTCATCTTTGTCGCCATATTTATTACAACGTTTCTGGAATTTCAGTATCTGTCTATATTTCTGAGATGCGGTATTATGTACACTATTTACATTATTCGGACCATTGTCCTCATCTTTGTCGCCATATTAATTACAACGTTTCGGCCTTTCAGTATCTGTCTATATTTCTGAGATGAGGTATTATGTAAACTATTTACATTATTCGGACTATTGTCCTCATCTTTGTCATAAATTTATTACAACGTTTCGGCCGTTGTTCTAAATAATATTTCTTCAATATGGAAAATAAATGAACCCATATTTATTCACTGGAATAGATTGTTCTATCTTTCTCGCCATATTTAATGGATGTCAGTTATGAATTAGCATCTGTTAACCCCTGTGAAATAAACAATATTTCTTAACCGGGTATTGAACTCCCACGTTCTTTCTCTTGACTGGATTTAACCAACGTTTTATCCATATATAGCCATGTATATAGATAGATGATAACTGACATATTTTAAAATTTACAAAAATGGACTATTGTAGTACATCCCCAGTGAGCAAATACAGGGTTCACAACATTCCAACCTTTGGAAAAGCTGGAGCGATCAACGGCTGAAATGTTTTTATTATGGCAAAAAAAACATTATTATAGTCCGAATGAAATTAAATCTTTGAACGCCATAATTAATTATAATGTACCGGCCTTTAAGGTTTCATATTTCATATTAAAATGCAAACTAAGCCCAAAGATGCATTAACCCTGGGCAAAAAGTGTAGCCAAACGAACAACATTTCAGAAGTGGTTCCACATCCTCAAAACTTGGTTCGATCAGAGGCCGAGCTGCCGAATTTTTTATCGTCATACTTAGGGCACTTGTGGGATGAAAGATGATACGTAAGATTCTTAATTCTGGCCATGATTAATGAGATCTGTCTACATGGCTTAGCATCAAAAAGATTCGACCATTCAGAAAAAAACATACGAAATTACAAACATGACTTTGACAAAAATGATTAACTTGTATCACCCAAAGCTACAACTCCCGAAATATCACAGACAATGGCGTGCGTAGAATATCTAGCCACATACTTAGATTTAATAATAATTATTGACGTTCAAATAGCAACACCTCAGACACGGGAATTACCGACATATCCACGGATGACGAAAATGGTTATATATATATAATTATTAGTTTTACATATATTTTCACAACAGCGACAACAGTTTTCATGTAACGGGTCAAAACTACCATTTAAGAGAAAGATATGATCGACAGAAATATGGCGTTTTTTTACATGTTCTTTTTTTCTATCTATCTATCAATCTATTTAAATATCTATCTATCTATCTATCTATCTATTTTTTGTTTTTTCTATAAATTCAAGATACATCTATCTATCTATCTATCTATCTATCTGTTTTTAGTCTATTTTTTTAATATCTTTCATTAAAAAATAAGAATCTATCTATCTATCTATCTAAATATCTCAGTCTGTTCCATATATATCTAAACATATAGTTTATGATAGATCTACAGATATCTGCTGTCTGATTTTATATTATTCATCTATCTGCGGATGATCTATCTATATCTCCATGCATGTGTTCAATGTTAGCAGCGATGATTTGTCTATTCTTTTGCAGGCATGGGAGACATGGCTGTGTCCAATTCGATCGGGAGTAACGTGTTCGATATTCTCCTTGGCCTTGCTCTGCCCTGGTTCATTCAAACCGCAATGGTTGAACCAGGATCTTATGTAAGTCAAACATACATCTCATTAATTATGTAAATGATGAATACACGTGCTTCTCATATTAGATTTACTAATGATAATTTTTATAGTTTCAAACTCATGACTTTTCAGGGTTTTTTTTGTTTTTTTTTCTTTGTTGTGAATGGACGAAAAATATAATTTTTATTTTCATTTCCATGAAAATTTTAT